CGCAAATGGCTACCATATTGAAAAATATACTATTTTTGTATGATAATTATGGGTTTTGTATTTTATTTTAATAGAAGTTGATGTTGCTTTTGCAATTATCCATCAATTTTTTAAAATTAAACACTATCTACAGATTTGCATCGAAGCGTTTCTTATGATAGTGATTTTAATCACTGTCAGATTAAATCTATACTGGACCCTACTATGCAATGTCTCTACTATGCCGCGACCCCACTGTGCTATTTTTATTTTTTTATTGGTTTTTTTAGATATATAATCATTAAAATTAATTAAATTTTGAATATTTCCATTGTAGAATCTTTTTAAACGCCAAAAGTTAAATTTTTTTTTTTAATTTAACTAGTTCAAAAAATGTTTATAATTTATTTTTCATTTAATATCTCTTAAAATCTTTTTCTATTGGTCGGTGATGCAAGGGAAAAAGTTAAGAATCGATTTTCAACCGATTTGAAAGAAAATATTAATGTTAACAAAAAAATTTGTTTTATTTTTAAAACTAGTATTAAAAAAAAATTCAGTTAAAAATCACATACATTTTTGAAAAAATTTAGAAAATTATATTTATTGTTATATAAATATAATATTTGGGATAGGGAGAAATTCGATTTTTTTAAATTAAACAACGTACGCAGCGTATAAAGACATACATTTTTTTTAAAATTTAGATTAACTGTTATTTAAACTAATTAACTGAAGAAAAGCTAATTATTTCAATGGAAATTAAATTAGTTAAGTCAAAATGTTTATTAAAAAAAAAATTAACTTTTTAACTAGTTAATATCGACCATTGTTAAACAGTATATGACTTTGTCGCTAGTAAGAATATATAATAAATGAAATAAAGTTCCCAAGCAAAAATCCTTGCTGCGCTACTGGGTCAAGCTATTTCAATAACAAAATTAAAAATCTAAGCATTTTGGGGTATTTTTTCAGCATTAAAAAAATCGACCTTGTTTTATTGTAATTAGATTTAAAATTTGATAAATCTTTGTATTGTTTTATCGATAAAAAAATATGTGTGACATTTTTATAAAGACAATCAATTAATTGAATCATTACGTTTTTAACGTACCCCTATTGTTATGCCCTCATTATAACTTAATAATTAATGTTCGTTACGTATTGGCTGCCGTTACATTACATGCATATTGTACAAAAAATAATAGTTCAATGAAAAATAGAAATTATGCACTAGAGCTCAGCACACGCGTACTTGTACCATATTATTATAAGTACTATAATGGATTACATAATATGTAATATTTTTTGTTATTTAGGTATTTTCAAGTATGTTATAATAAGGAGATGGTCTGATTTCTACGAGTATAAACTTAAATAATCTATTGATATTCCTATTTTTTATTTGGAGATAAGTCTGAATTACTTTGCAATGGTCCAAACCAGATAAAATAAATAATATAATATTGAGACATGCATTTGCGTTTAGTTGACACGAAACGTTTATCTGAGACACTGTAGTCTATTATTTCTAATGGTTTGAAATAAATTTTGGATTTTTCTCGAAGTAAAAGTCATTAAGACTTTAGTAAAATTTTGAAAAAGTTTTTCTTTAGTATGTGATTTATTCGATTTTACAGATAATTTATGTAATTATTAACAGCTATTTTAAAATATAAACAAATAATCTCAAAAAAATTATGGAAGTCAACAAAGAACCCAAAAAACCGACTCAAAATCGAATTTTAAAAGATGGTAAGAAAAACTATTTTTAGTTAAATAAAAAATTTAATTATTCTGTTAAGGGTGAGAAAATTCATTTTTAATTTTTAAAATAAACTAATTATTATTTCAAATAAAAATATTTTTTAATTTAATGATTTCAACATAAGTTAAAAATGTATTCATTAGAGTAATCAACATAAAGTTTATATTAACACAACTTTGACCAAATATTATTGTAATAATTCAACACAAATAAGTAGAAAACTAAAGCCTAATTTTTTTGAACAATTAACGCGGTCTATCATATAAATTATAGATAACAGGATAATCGAGTGTTACAGAAAATTGTTTATGTTTCGCGGGTAACATTTCTATCACTATATTAATAAAATAGTCGGCACACATTATACTTCCAAATTACAAATGAAATTGTAATTATTTTAATTTTAGAAAAATGTATTATAGAATCGTAATTTCCATCTAGATCGAATTTAATTAATTATGGAAATTAGTTAATACGATATTTTTTTTCATTTATTGTCGATTATTAACTCAATTTTTTCAAGTTTTTCACTTTACTTATATTAGTATCAATGATTCCAGAAGGGAAGGAAACTTTCAGTTTTAGAAATAATCTTCTTAGAGTATTTAACACTCTAGAAAAATGTTCACAATAAATATTTTGAAAATAAAATAGAGTAAATTGATTTTGAAAGAAAGATTTCAATGTTTAACCTTACAACATGAAATAATATTAAAGTCTAATTTTTTTCTTGTAGCTGTCAATTGTAACTACAGAGTATAAAACAGTGTCGATATTAGCTTTTACTACGACCACAAAATTTCCATAAAGATTTTTACTTAGTAAAAATAAAATGTTATTTGAAAATTTATAATTTTTATAACTATAAATTTAATAATTTAATTTTAATAATAGATTTTATAATTTTTATAAAAGCATCTTTAATAATGTTAAAAAATAGTAGGGTCCAGTATAGATTTAATCTGACAGTGATTAAAATCACTATCATAAGAAACGCTTCGATGCAAATCTGTAGATAGTGTTTAATTTTAAAAAATTGATGGATAATTGCAAAAGCAACATCAACTTCTATTAAAATAAAATACAAAACCCATAATTATCATACAAAAATAGTATATTTTTCAATATGGTA